AACGAGGTGGTGCATGCTGATGTCTGTTGATGTCTATTGATATCTGATGATGTCTGATGATGTTTGGCGTTGTCTGTTGATGTCTGTTGATGTCTTATGATGTCTGTTAATGTCTGTTGAGGTCTGATGATGTCTGGTGATGTCTAATAATGTTTATTGATGTCTGATGATGTCTGTTGAGGTCTGTTGATGTCTGTTCTGTTGAGGTTTGATGATGTCTGTTGAGGTCTGTTGATGTCTGCTGATGTCTGTTGATGTTTGCTGATGTCTGATGATGTTTGTTGATGTCTGATGATGTTTGTTGATGTCTGTTGAGGTCTGATGATGTCTGTTGGTGTCTGATAATGTCTGTTGATGTCTGATAATGTCTGTTGATGTCTGATAATGGCTGTTGATGTCTGATAATGTCTGTTGATGTCTGATAATGTCTGTTGATGTCTTATGATGTCTGTTAATGTCTGATGATTCTGATGATGTTTGCTGATATCTGATGATGTTTGTTGATGTCTGATGATGTCTGATGATGTCTGTTGATGTCTGTTGAGGTCTGATGATGTCTGGTGATGTCTGATGATGTCTATTCGCTCATTTAACCATCCATCTATCTATCCATCCAATTAACTATCCACCTATCAATCCATCCATCCATCCATCTACTCATCCATTCAAAGCCTCTGGACCTCATGCGGTACGGGCATCTTCAGCAGGATGGAGAGTTGAGGTACCGACTGATGGATGAGAAGAAGGATAAGTTCGGGTGGGTTTTTATTCGATGTTTGTTCATCTGTCTTTGCATGACTTTGTGTGTCTACATGTTTTTGTTGAAATGTTGTTCACAAGGAGTTTGCGTGGAGGCGTGCTGACGATGGTGATGATTAGAGGGTGGGGAAGATGATGATAGGGATGATGTTCATAAAAATTAAATTAAAATGATGATGATGGTAGTACAAATATAACGACGATGATCAAACAGATACGTGTTCCTGTTTGACAAGTTGTTGCTCGTATGCAAGGCTAAGGTTGGCTTACTTCGTGGCTGTCCTCACCACCAACGTTGTTAATCATCATGTTCTTTTTCATCCTTCTCATCTTCATCACCACCCTCATTGTTTCCAATTTTTATCATAGCCTACTCATTTTCATCATGCTCATCATCATCTTCATCATCATTTTCGTCATCATCATGATTGCCATCGTCGTGCCATCATCGTCGCCATGCCAGGGCACAGACACGTACACGATGAAGTACAGTTACGAAGTGATCGACAGCCAAGTGGAAATCATCAACAACCCCAAAGATAAGGATAAGGTGATGAATCTCTACATTGATTAATCGACTGATTGATCGACTGATTGATTGATTGATTGATTGATTGATTGATTTTGATTGATTGATTTTGATTGATTGGTTGATTGGTTGTTTGATTGATTTGTTCGTTCATCCATTTATTCATTCATTCGATTATTTATTCACTCGTTTTGTGTTCATTTATTGATTTGTTGAATATTTTTTTGCATAAATGAATGTTAATTAGTTTGGCTTCCATCTGAACGTATTGAGAAGTAACGACCCACTGAAGTCGACATTGACATTGATATTTTATGCCAAGTCAGCTGATCTCAGGAACAAATGGATTGAAAGTTTCAAAGCTGCTATGTTAGTTGGCTGGCCGATTGATTGGTTTACTGACTGACTGGCTGGTTGGTTTGTTGATTGGTTGGTTGATTGTTTGGTTAATTAGTTAGCTAGCAGGTTGGTTAGCTGGTCGATTAGTTGGTTGGTATGTTGGTTGATTGATCAAATAGTTATTATGTGGAATGGTTTATGGAATGTTTGGTGAGCTGGTGTATGGCTGATCATTGACAGGATTGCTTGATAGCTTGTCTTGTCTTTGTTTGATTGATCTGTTGATTGTTGGAATGTCTGGTTTGTCGAGTGTGTGGCTGACGAAGTTGGTTGATGCGTTTGTTGATTCCTCTTATTTGTTTGTTGGTTGATTGGTTGGTTGGTCCAATTCACTGGAATGATTACAAACTGGTGCCGATATTCTTAATGAATTATGTAGCTGATTGTTCAGTGAACAAAAATTTCAATAAATAAATGCCCAAATGAACAAATAATTATATAAGCATGTAAATAAATAAATTTTTTCAGAGATAACATCTGTCCGGTTGGTTGGTCTAACCACATCCACATGTTCATTTTAACTTCCTTCTCCCAGCCAACCATTTGCGATGTCTGTCGAAGACTGCTCAAGTTAGTTCATTTTGTCGATATCAATGGTGATAGAGATGATGTTTAATTGTTCAGATTAACATGTGAACTAATAATTTATGCTAATTATAATGATCAACAATTGTATGGAGTAATTTATGTTAATTATATTGATCAAAAATTGTATGGAATAATTTATGTTAATTATTTTGATCAACAATTGTATGGAATAATTCATGTTAATTATATTGATAAGCAATTGTATGGAAGAATTTATATTAATTATATTGATCAACAATTGTACGGAATAATTTATGTTAATTTCAGGGGCGTGTTCTACCAAGGCTACAAGTGTAAAAGTGAGATTGATTTGTTCCTGTTATTTATTGGCTATTGCAAATTATAACCCGTAGTTAAGATATATCTGTAGATGAGACGACGTTGATATCAATAGAAATATATATCATGATAATAATAATAATATTGAAATTTTAATGTTAAAATAAATAATAACACAACATTAATATTAATAAACGGTGGACAGTGATGAAATGATATTTGAATGTAATGGCTATGAAGAGGATGATGAATGTTCTGTGAAGATGTTGTTTTCAGTTCAAAGCAGCAAATTTTTGTGACGATCACATTTAATGAAGAAGTGATCATTTGATGAAGAGTAGTGACGTGAGGTTGCAACGATGTTATTGCTTGTGTGATCGCTATCACTCTTAATAATGATGGCAATAAATGGTACATCAACATCACCTTTATTGTTGAAAGCATTAGTGGAAAATGTATTAGAAATTATTCAAAGGCTGATCTTTAATGGCAGAGTAGAGTTGTTATAATGAGGGGTAGGGCTGGCTCAGGCATGTTGCCGTCATAATTTTAGATGAGATCTTCATGTATCAATCATTCACAAGTTGAATCAGATATTAAATAACAGTAGGATGACATGTTATAAAAATTTAATTATCAGATACAAACATGATCCTATACAAATTTTAAAAGTCAAAAACACCCATGATACAAATATGCAATTTCCTAAATATGATACCAGACACCAACATGATAGTGCACAAATCCTGCATCCTGGCTGCTAAAGATATGACAGGTAGTGTCTTTCCATTGTCAATCTTCTCGTCATTATGTTTATTTTACTATCACTGCTGCTGTTACTGGCGCCATTTTACGCGCAATCTACCTGACGTTCAATTATATTAAACTTTATTAATGTTAATTCGCATATCGAGGTCATTTACCGCCATTCAACTGTTTAACAGGACCACCCACCGTACCTCCCAGAGAACACCCCGGATGTCGGTATTATTATCACAACATCCCCTTATCTTTTTCATCGTCGCTTTCATCATTTAGTCTTTTCCTCGTCTTTTATTTCACTAACGTCTCCGACATCATTTTCATCACCATCATCACCATCGTCACGTAAGGTAATTACATTCATTGAGACATGCATTTGCATTGTCATAGAACCGTTAGCAGGTTCTGTTAAGATATAATGTTAACTTAATACATTCTTATATCACGCTACATTATCACATCATTACGCCATCATTATCACATCATTTTCATATTTTTCATTAATGTAAATATCGTCGTCACCTTCGTCATTGTAATTGTTGTATCAGATAGAGCCAAGGCAACATCGAGTTACAAGGGTCTGCCACCCCCTCCAGGCACCCACTCCCCACTCAACTTTCAGGAAAATGACATCATAACTGTTCTTTCAACGGAGACGGATCCCTGGTGGTTGGTGCGTTGTTGAGGGAGGGAGGGAGTGTAAAGGGGTGTTAAGGTGGATGATGAAGACAAGTTGGAAGATGATGCTTGATGTTGAGGATGGTGGTGGTGGTGTTAAACTGGAAGAAGATGATTAGTGTTGATGTGAAGATACGTTGCAAGATGATGATTGGTGTTAATGTGAAGATCTGTTGAAAGACGAAGAAGAAGATGAAGATAGATGATGAAGATTAGTTGGAAGATGAGGATTAACACGGTAAGGTCGCTCAGAAGATGCTAATCAGGAGCTGATGGTGTTATATTTAGGCCATAAGCTGATTTTATGTGACTTATTGAATATTAAGACTTTGTTTGATCAGCTTAACTAACAGCTAGTCATGTGGCATGGAATTCATTATATTAAAGATGTAGAAATTTTTTCTCAATGCTGAGCATAAAAAGCGTAGGTTGAGCACTAAAAAATGACGTCACGTAGGTTTTAGGGATTGATTGGGTTAGTATGCGAATGATTTGGTGAATGAGTAAGCAAGTAGTGAATTTTCGGAATGATAATGATGATAATAATGATGATGTTGGCGGTGACAGTGTGGAAATTATAATGTGATGATAATTGTGATGGCATTGATTTAAAATGAAAGTGGTTACGAAATAAATTTATTTATTTATTTATTACCTTTTTAATTATCATTAATAGCAATAAATAATAATAGTTATATTTATCATTTTTATTGTTATTATTAGGGTAATAAATACTGTAAGTAATAATAATAATGATACTGTTGTAGGGGAAACATGGCGGTAGTGAAGGTTACTTTCCAAAAACATTTGTCACTCTCATCAAGGTTAGTCCCATTTCAAATTATTTAGTTGCTTGTACGAAATGAACTTAACAGATGAGGACAAATAAGTGAAAGAGTAAAAAAATAGATGAATAAACAATTTTGAATTATAAATTATTGATGATAATGCGTTTTCAATATCTGTTTTAGTGTAAAAATTAAACTAATTCTATCAATGTTTATTTGTCCAAAAATTTATTCATTGTTATGATGACTTTGGTCTAACGTTCACAAAGCCCAGAGACTCCTCCCATCTTGACGACACTCAAGACATTTCAATAGCAACTCCACATGTCAGCTCCCAATTACCGTTCCTCCTGCAACAAACTCTACCCTCCAGACCGAGCAGAACAACCTCATTGGTCCATCCGCCACCCAATCAGAAACAAGTATTATTGAACAGTAGTGCCTCCTTTCTGAATCCGTCGACCATTGAAAATGCTCCCCCCATCCCAAGGAGGATATCTCGGGACCCGTCCAACTGTTCATCTCCATCCAATGCCAACTTGTCTCCTGTCTTCAGTCCCTCTCCCAGTAACACGTCACTCAGCAGCAACAATTCACAAAACGAATTTTTTGGAGAAGATTTGGCCGTGTTTCCCTGGTGAGTTTTAATTGACATTTGTTGCAGTTAAAAATATATCGTCATCATTTATTACGAATAAAGTTTGATTTTTCATTATTTTGTCAACGTAGCCAACTAATAATTTCTACCATCATCACCATGATGACCATCTTTATCATCGCGATGAAAATAAAGAAACTTGTGACTGCAGGTTCGTTGGTGAAATGACGAGGGAAAGAGCCACTGAATTGTTGGAGAAGTTGATCGATGGCGCCTACTTGGTGAGGATAAGCAAAACTGCGGACAGGAAGGGCGAACTGTCACTCAGTATCAAGTGGGTGGAGCTTTTCATCATCATCAAATCAATCATTATTTGCCTCATCAATTTAAAAAGAGAAGCCAGGATGTTTGTGATAAAGCTCATAGAGCTCATCTATCACAACCACCTGAACAAAATTGGCTCAAACTTCTACAGAAAAAAAAACAAAAAAATGTTACTAAAATCAAATTTACATTAAACTAGGAGTAATCTATATAAATGTCGGTTTATCAACAAAAGTTCATGTATAATAAAAATGTATAAAATTTGAATGCACTTGATCTAACTGCTACCATTCATACTCAAATTTAGAACCATTTAAGATCGAATTACACTTATTTTCATGCATCTGAGCGCATTTGCACCCATGCATACATATGCATTTCCATCTTTCCTTATTTTCCTTATCATCTCTGTCCATACACACATTCAATCCCATGCAATCCATTTATCATTCACATCCTTTCATGTATAAACATACATTAACAAACAATCCAAAAAACTTAAATTTTTGGTTTGTTTTAAAAAAGGCTTAGCATGAGTATACTTTGTTAACCCTGTTATTGATCTCATTGCTCTCTTTATTAAATATTTAATTGAATTTGTTGTTGAAGTGTATGCGCCTGACCAAACTACATTGCAGTAAGTGATGTCAGACATGATTTAGGCAAAACAAATTTTATTAATCACAACAATTGATTTGGCCAGTTAAGTGCAAACATTCTCTACATGCTGCTTGAAAGACAGCCTTTGATATAACGGCACACCCAGAAATTTAGCAGTTTTACATTCCTTAATTTCAATGTTATTGATTATAATTTTGAACGGTTCTTCATAGCTCATGTAGTTTACTGGCCCAAACACGATCATTTAAGTTTTTTTTTCATTTATCGTCAACCGGTTTTGTTGGAACCATGAAACTATATGTTTGAGTTCAGCATTTGCGTCCTCTACAAGTCTTTTGAGGTTCTTTTTTTGCAAAAAACACTCGTCGTCTGCAAAACACAGATAGTCAAAAAATGTTGTTGCACTGGGCAAATCATTCACAAAAACAATGAACAGCAGTGGTCCCAAGATGCTTCCCTGAGGTACTTCTATTCGATTGCACAGTAGAGTTGAGGCTTTATCTTCCCAATGCACAAACTGGCTTCTATCTGATAAATAGCTTTTGAACCATTTTGATGCCTTGCCACGGGTACCGTAAATTTCTATTTTCTTTATTAGCATTTCATGATCTATATCTATGCAATCGAACGCCTTAGATAAGTCCAAACAAATACCCATGATGAATTTTTTTTCTCTCTGCAGCCATAGCGATTTTTCTGGTCAGCTCTAAAGCGCTAATTCCGGAATCCGAACTGACAATCGGCTAACTTGTCAAAAAAATTTGATAATTTTTTATGCATAGTCTTTTCAATGATTTTTGAAAAAGCTGGTAGAATAGACACTGGTCTGTAATTTGAAATATCTGTAACACCGTTGATTTTCTACATTGGAATAATTTTTGAAGTTTTGAAGCAGGAGAAAAATTTCTCAATTGAAAATGACAAATTTATGGGAAAAAGCTGGTAGAATAGACACTGGTCTAAGTCTTAGAATCTAAGATATTTGTGGTCTATTGAATAGTTGAAATTACTACCTTTATTTGAATTTTGTTATAACCTCTTGATGATTTTGGTTAGAGCATCCTAGTTGTGTTAATAATTTCTTCCGATGATGTTTCAAGCAGGAAAAAAGAATTTGGTATATTCTTATTAATAGTATTTTTCTATAGTGCATTATTTGGAATTGAGTTTAGTAAATTTGGGGCCAAATTTATTAAATATTTATTTGATTAATTTTCAGGAGAATCCAAAATTTGACCATTCATACTCAGTTTCTAGCGGTAACACCAACACTAGGTGATTTTTGAAGGAAGTAATTTGTTAAAATGCTTAAACATAAAGTAGACGCATTGGAAATATATATTTTATATATTGTAAGTGCCGTAAAATAATTATATACGTGTTCAGTTTTTTTAAACAAAAATTTTTTAAACAAAAGTAAAAAAAACATAAAAATTTTTAAGCTAAATATATATTATTTAAATTGATAATGGGTCATTTTTCTTGAATAACATCATAGTAGTTTTAATGTTCATAGTAGTAATAAATGCGTGGTATGACTGTAACAAAATGTCTTTATTGAATAACCATCTTTATTTATTGAGTATGCCAACAGAGCGAGATGTTTTCAAAAAACAACTGAATCAAATTATCATATATAAATAATCCTAGAAACTTAGTACCACGAGCTATAAAGTATAAAATACAAAGAAGAATGCAAAAAGACCAGAAAAAAAACAAATGAATAACCATACTATGAAATAAATGAGCTAATAAAGAAGCCAGGAAAGTTCTTAAGCTTTCTGCTTTCTGTGTTCGTAGGATTGGTTTGGTATATTTATCTGTGTAATTGAAATGCTGGTTGTGAAGTTTGATGGTTGATTGTCTGGATAGACGATGGTAATGCAAACCTATTTACACACGTGATAATAATAAGGCATACACAAACAATGGCGTTATGATTGATTAGGTATGGCGCAGAGAATCCTGTGAAACATGTGAAGATCCTGCGGCAGAAGAAGAAGTGGTTCCTCAATAGCAACAAGTTTTTCGCTGGAGTTCAGGTTATGTCAAAAAATTGTATTTGTATAATTTCTATATAATTATTTCAAACTATGTTCGACATATATGTCAACATAACCTCTTTCTTATTAACAGCAACACACGCACACACACATCAATCAATCTTCGTTTCGTTTAGCGTCCAGTTTCCCGAGGTAGGACGTTGTTTTCAACGCGCACACACACACACACACACAGACACACACACATATATATATATATATATATATATATATATCGTTAAAAAAATCAAAAAATTAAACAGGAAGTTAACTAACGCGGACCATGTGATTTTCATCAACAATATATATATATATATATATATATATATATATATATATATATATATATATATATTAAATAATTTATTCAGCTAAAGCTGAGAGAAACCATCAGCTCTTACGAGCTTGTATGGCTCACCCTAAACCCGAAGTGAAAAGAAATATCACAAGTTAAATAAGATAATATGTCCAGATTAATTGAAATACAGACTAAGTAAAGCATAATCAAAATGAAGCATAATGAAGTACAGATTCACCAGTACACACACACACACACAAACACACACACACCCATACCTACATCTCCATGAAACATTGAAAGTCAATTTTCGATGAAAGACCAAAGATACAAAATAAACTATAAAACCTTAATTACAATAATGTATAATGAAAAATAATAAACAACCATAAACCGTTAAAGAACAAATAAGTTTTATTTTTAAATTAGATCAGCAGGGAAAAAGTTATTAACATCAAGATCACAAATTAATTTTTTAATCCATAATGAACTATTAGTACAAGTAGTAAAGGTAGTAAGTAGTACTGGTAGTATAGACCATAATTTCAATTCAAAATTAAAAATAGACGACGAAAACAATGTGGTACGTGATTTTGTTGGATGTGAAAATTATTTGTTTTCTCCAACTTAGGTTGGTAGTGACCACAACACCAAGAAAATTTATTTTGTCGGTTTTTGTTATTAAATTTCGATTCAAATATAATGAAAGTTCAATAAATTTGTGACAATTATAGGACAAAACAACATTTCATAAGTTTTAGCTATATTAACTTCCCGTCACTTATTGTCCATTCAGGTGCAAACTCTTGTTAGCACCAAGTTTAATATTTTCTGAACCTCAGTAATGCCAGATGCTAATATGATTGTGTCATTGACATACATTATATATTTAACAGGTAGAGTTGAGTTTACTAGGTCATTAATAAAAAGATTAAAAAAGAGGACCCAGTATCGATCCATGGGGTAGCCCTTGAAGTAATTAGCTGTATAGAAGATTTATGCTAGTCAATTACAACATACTGAATACGGTTATCGAGGTAGCTTTTGTACCAATCCAATATAGTTCTTTTTATTCCGTAATGGTGTAATTTATCTGGCAAAAGTTTATGATTAACGGATTAACGGTATCAAAAGCTTTTTTGATATCAATAAAAGCACCAATAGAGTGTTTTTATATCAATATTTTTGGGTATATATAATGTTAAATCTAAGATTGCTATAAACTCGGTTGAGCAATTTTTTCTGAAGCCATACAGCCAGTCATTTAAAATTTTGTATTTGCAATCATTTAACATTTTGAATTATATTTATATATATATATATTTATTTATATATTTATATATATATATATTTTGCAACGAGGTTTTTAGTGATACAAACTTCGTTAAATATTTTTACCCATTTTGCGTTAATCAACTTTTTTATAATACATTCACAACTCATAATTGGTTCAATTCATATTTATTCAATAAACGTGTCATAATCAGGCTTACAACGTTGTTTCGGGGTAAGCGCCATATTCAGAGCCTAAAACAGTATTTTGTGTTAATTGGAAGGGGTTTACATTAATACGAGATATCATTAGAATTAATATAGAATATAATAAAATTAAATTAATAAAATTAAATTAAATTAAGAGGTAACATTGTAAGTTCGATTATAAATGAAATAAAGTTAGATGTGAAAGGTAAAGTTACATTTATTAAGTGGATAAATTGATATGTTGTAATCTTGTGAGTTTAAGTAATGCATAATTAAAATTATCCATAGATAGAGATTTATAAATAATAAATTATGACTAGATACTTATTAGAATATTTAGTAGAGTAAATAAATAATTAAAACCAATGTATATTACGTAAAGTTATTGATAAAATGGTAAGACAAAGCAAACATAGTGGAAGTTTTATTATAATTACCCAGCGTGATATTGTGTCCATAGCATTTACGAAATATTGAATGAAGCATGAAGTGGTATAAAGTAATGTATATTTGCGTGTGCAGCGTAGTTTGGTATTGAGTAAAAA